CTCCCTAAAACCGATGCTTTCAGATATTGTGAGATGCCATTAAATATTTGTAAGGCTAATTAATACCAGTTAAAACATTAAAAGATAAATGTTGCACTGTTGTTTCCGAAGCAAGAAATCCAGCATTCACAATTCCTCCTTTAATGCTGCAATGTACAGATACTTTGTTTATAAGCTCTGAACATGCCTTGTTTTCCTGCATCATGAGGGCAAGAAAATCCTCTTACTAATCCAGATTGGAAAAACACACTGATGCTGAACAGGAAGGGGCAAGAAGAGACAGATGGACGCTGGCTGCTTGCAAAGTTGTCAAAGACAAAATACAACACGTTTCCAGACTACATACTTCTGGGTACTGTTAAAAAAACAGGCGTTAATTTGACAAAGATACCATATGCTACAAAAGCCTGATGCCATCTGAGGTCAGCTGCAGTGTCTGAGATAATTTCTCTTGTCCAGGGACTGAACAGACAGACAGATAATTTATAATGGACTGGACGCTTGACCAAAATATGAATTTCTGAGTCCTTGGCTGGTGCACATACTTAGCTTGTTCTCTGAAGAGACTGTTAATTTCCTGCACATTTTAAAGCAGGCTGCATAGCAATCCACAAAGCAGAGCCTAATATTTCTGAGGAAAGATTTCAAGCATCTCGACTATGAATTGGGGTGCTGGTAAGAGGAATGTTGTTTATGTTAGGAGTTTGTTTTTAATCTTTGCAGTCTTGTCTTTTCTATTCAGTTTCCATCATGCCTTCCTAGGAAGGGAAGACAGATCTCTGACCTAAGCAGAACAGAGAAGTAAGCATAAGGCATGACAATGAGTGTTTTACCAGGCAGAATTATAAGGCAGTGAAATAAATCTCTTAGTCCCCCTGAGATGGTAGGCCCATGACACCACAGATCTTGCAAAAAAAACCCACCATTTATCAAAAATATTTTCACTGAGATAGACCACATTGCTCGAAGCTGAGTATCAGCCTGGAGTATCAGCTTTTCTAAAACAAAACAACAACAAAAAGAGATTAGTTGAAATTTGTTTTCTACTTCTCTCTAAAGATAATGATGACCTATCACAAGGGAATGAGCTACTGCAGTTTAACAAGCTACTGCTTCTCCACTGACGTGCTGGAATTGGCTCTGTGTGCACTCCTAGGCGTGCAGGTCTATCAGCACCACTGTGCACTAACAGCCAGGATAGCAGCAAATTCACCATGCTACGGATTTACTCACCAACGTGACTCTTTGCAGTTAACTGTTGGATTCCTGGCTTGTCCATGAGCTGCCAGATGAGCACCACTTGAGCTAGTCAAACCTCTCTGCTGACTCCGGGGCACCGTATCTGCCTGGCACACCTGGAAGGCCCCCGTGCCGCTTGGCGACGCAGACGGCATGGGAATGCTTAGTAGGGCCATGCTCTGACCTGCTGGGACTGCGATCTCGTTGACTGTGTTATGGGAAGACCCTAGAAGACAGATACAGCAGTCAGGCAATAGGCTACCTATGCCACAGTGCAGCACACAGTCACCTCTGGAGTATCTGAATCACAGAATCCCAGAATCCCAGGATGTCTGAGGCTGGAAGGGACCTCTAGAGATCATCAAGTCCAACCTCCCTGCTTCAGCAGGGACACCCAGAGCACAGGGTGGCATCCGGGCGGGTTTGGAAGATCTCCAGAGAAGGAGACTCCACAGCCTCTCTGGGCAGCCTGTTCCAGGGCTCTGGCACCCTCACAGCAAAGAAGTTCAGATTTACACTGTAAAATTAACAGAGGACATCATTAAAGGTTTTTTTTTTTTTTTTTTTTTTAAAGATGTATCATGGACAAGATTTGGTTAACTCTGATGTGACAGATTGAGAACACTGGAGGCCGAACATACCACAGACTGTATGAAAACTGACAACAGCCATCGCGCCAGCTCTCTGGGGATGCTCCTCTGACACTGTGCATGGGCAGTTGCTTTCTTATCTTTGGGGATTTAAAGATGCCGGATTCCCATGTGAGATTCCTCAGTATCAGTACTAGGGTTTTTTTCTCCATCACTGATCCAGAGGTAGAAATCCTATTTTCTTTCATCTATGAGCCTGAATATAAAAGTGGCAAATATTAAAATGATAAGAAAACAAAGTACTTTTTTCTGTTGATTTACCTCTTATGGATTCTTCCACATCCCGTTAAATCAATTAAATTAAATGCCCCCACTTACATACTGTTGGGCACTGCCATCTGTCACTTGATTCACAGCACCCCAGGAAAGCTTGGCCAGCACCAGGGTCACATCCACACCAACAGCCACATGTCCATCCCTCCGATGTCCCACAGAGCTGCAATTCTCACAATGTGCAGGTCAGGAAATGAGATTGTCGTGACATATATTCAACACAGACTTCTGTATTAGAGACTAAATGTTTTGTCAATCTTAAAATACAAATAAAAGAACTAAAAAGGAAAAGTAAGTTTGATTTAAAAAAATCTTACCCACATCTAAAACAAACAAAAACATTTCTTTTAGGATCACAGAAATCTTTATACAACATTTTGCTGTAGCATATTCTTCCTGAAAATTCTGATGGTGTGAAAAGAGAGGGATCGTGAGATGTCTTGTCCATGAACACATTCCAGTGAAAGTAATCACGTCCATTATATATATAATACACATATGTGCAGGTTAGAGATCCTTCTGACTAGCAGTACCATATGGCATGGATGCCTGCATCTAGTTATTCTGTGTTTTGCATCACAGGAGTAAAAAGTAAAGTTTCAGTTTCTTCTTAGCAACGGAAAGACGCCAAACTGAACAGAGAACAGATTATGTACTATTCATATTTCTAGTGCTCTCCATCCCTTTCTTCCCTCCCTATCTATTCTGAACACAGACATTCACTTTCAAGAGTTCTGAAGCAGGGATTTCTTGAACTGCAGTTTTTGTAGGACATTTCCAGCAGTTACCTCTAAAAGAAGTACATTAACAAAAGCAAAATTGCATTTCCACAATGCTTGCCAAGATGCTCATACCACCTCACAGACTAAATAGGACTTGCAGTATCACCTTACGTACACTCTAACCATGCAAGGAGCACAACATTAAATGGAGCTCCTTCATTACCCTTGTAAGAAATAGATATGTCTATAACCAAATGTAAATGCAATACCAAAGACATTAACATAATCACTAATTTAATAAAATAAATAATTAATCAAAGAGTTCAACAATTTAAAAGGGCTCGCACTTGAAAGAAATTATGGCACGGTATGAATCATGGTATGGTATGATATGAAACAAAGATGTCACTCCTGCTCCAATTAAAAGCTAAACTCTGACTCACATAATTGCAAACTGATTTACTCTCAGGTACATTGACTGAGGAAGATAATTTTCAACTCATCCAGATTCCTGAAGTACTCGGTAGAGGTAAGTCATGTATCTGAGTTAACAGATGAACTGGAAACACAGACTGTTTTCTTGACTATGAAAATATTCTCCTGCATTTTAACTAAAATGTGTGCAGAATTCAAGTCAGGTAATTTCTGGAAATCAATCAGCCTTTCAGTACTTTCATATCTAAATGAGGCAGGAGTTTTTAGTGCAAGAAAACAGATGCCTTTTAATATACTTGAATACTTGAAAGTGTCCTGCCCTCATTGCCCACTTTGCCAGTAACTGAGCCCTGGAAACCAGGCTGGCTCCTGCTGCAAGAGGAATTACAGAATATGTGGGACCATGGTGGGAGCTGTTATTCCCAACAGCAGTAACAGCTAATACTCACCCTTCCGCAGCAGCCCCAGCAAACCTGCACCCCCAGGCCTTTCCCTCTAGCTCTCCATCCCAGCTCTACTTCTTCTGCAGGAGCAAAATTTAAATTCTACTTACAGTGCTGAGAAGCTAGATGTGATGCTTGTCATAAAGGAATATGAATAAAAGTTTGAAATACATTTATTACAGTACAGTCATAAAAGGAACACCTAAACTTTTAAGTCAATGCCTTGTCTTTTAAAAGTGGGAAAGAAAGACTTTGCAGTGGAAAAATGAAAGTTGTACCATGAGTTCTTGGCATAAAACAATACTGACCAACAGGAAAATGTAGGTTCAGAGGCAAAGAATTTTTAATGTATCTATTTCTTCTGTTGTTTAAAATACTAGAGCCTAAACACACTGGTTACACTGGTTACATACGTGATATGTTGATAGGACATATGCAAATATTTGTGTTGTATAATTATTGATTTTGTAATATTATTGTAGTTCTGTAATATTATTTTGCAGTTACTAATTTTGAGCTTGTGGAGAATGCTGTATGGATAGTTCTAGCAATATCCGTAATCCCAGGGAACAGTTTGCTCACGCTGCCCCCAGCTGAATGCTTCAACGCTGCCTGAGTGAAGAGGAGGCTGTCTCATGATGAAGACAGGCAGGTTTCCATGGTGCATTTTGTCGCATGTGGTGCTAACAGTATTGCCAGTGCCCTCGGTGCTGACAGCTCTGTGTCATTTCCATATAGCCACTGGGAACTGCATCTCGCACAGGCACTTAAATGGCAAGAACACACGAGCATCCCTTATCTGAGCAGGATTTAGACTAGCAACCCAGGGATTAAATTATCTTTTTGCAACAGCAGTAACTCTTAGCATGGCCTTTATCAAGACACACACAAAGCTGGCCCCTGCCCTGAGGAATGTATACTTAGGTATAAGAATAAAGCCCCCAACAGATACAACAGTGTGACTAAATTAGCCAACATAAGAAAGAAGATACAATACATTAGATTCTGAGTAACAATCACCTGCTAGCTGTCCTCTAAGTAATTCAGGCTCCTCTCTAAAACATATATGAATCTTTTAGTGGTTTTCTCATTAGTCACGTAAGCCAATTGTTTTGTTTGTTCTGAAATATTTGGAGGCATACTGTGTTATCTGTTAATGCTAAAGGTAGAGTGAGGGTGTACTTCACACCATGATGCAGGATGAAGGTGTTGCTTTTAAGAAATTAAGCATGTCACACTCAGGCAACTCGGAGCCTCTTGATTCTACCGCTCGTGCTGAGCTGCAGCTCTTTGGTTCTGCTATCATCTTTGTGAGCTCCAGGATGCTGAAAAACAAGCAAAGAAAAATATCAAATCTTTTGAAATACCTTGGGTGACAGCCTTTAAGTAGAATTTGACAGAGTTTAGTTTGCTTAACTGGTGGAGTTTGTAACTTAAGTCCACCAGTGCTCTGGCTGAACTTGATCCTGCCAATAGGTAAAATACATTGAAAGAGGTTATCAAAGCAATCGTGGAATAAAATCTTATCAATATACTGGAACAAGCAAAATACAGGTTAATACCAACAATACACCTCAAATAACAACACTGTAGTTGAGCAGTGTTACAGAACTTTAAATACACATTTTGTTAAGGTTGCCCTTACAGTAAAGATAAGATAAAATGCTTTCCCCTTGATTGGGCTCTAAGGCAGTCCACGCCTGAGAGAGGTACAAGGCACCTTTGTAATACAGAAACATTACTCAGAAACTGCTATCCCTGACCTCAAAGCAAGGAGAGGGTCTCTCTTCCAGTCTTTCACCCTGGCTTGTTACTGCTACACAACCACTGTCACGGATGAGCTGTGTTTCTGTTCTAATGATACCACTTACTGAAAATTCAACTTACCATCAGCTTAACCATCAGCTTAATTATGGGTTCAGAAGGGCAGGGGAAGCATAAGCACAGCACACAACCAGATGCGGAAGCTGTTCAAGGAGGGAGCACCTGAAAAGCAGAGAGCATTACTCTTATTGCCAGGATGCAGTTCAAGCTAACGCTGTCTTATTTCAGCCACCTTCCACCACCCAATTGAGAAGTAAAGGCATCCCACAGAGTGGTGTAGCAAATTCCAACATTTGGATCCTTCTAACTATAAACGGGAGGAGGGAGCAACTGTGCTCACCGCTTGGAGCAGGGGTTTGTGCCACCTGGGTGCTGCCCACGCCGCCCTGCGTCTCCTGGGTGCTCGTCCGGGCCCCGTCCAGCGCCAGCTGAAGGCTCTGGAGCTGCGACACGCTCAGCCGCTCGCGCTGCGACGCGGTGACCATGGCGGCATTTGCTGGGCCCAGGTTTGCTATCTGTGCTGGGGACAGCGCCTGGGGAACACAAGCCAGAACCAATGGGTTAGGCTCACAAATACTGCAGTGTGGGTAGGGAATCGGCATTCAGCACTGCCTTGCATTTGGGAGAAGTGCTCTGCAATATTGCACTGCTGTGCAAGAGCTCAAGGGAGCTGAACAAGCCTCCGTTTACCTCAGTGGACGCTCAGCTGCCCCCTCTTCGCTGTTGGGCTCGGAGAGCATTTGCTCGAGCATTTCGATGCTAATGCTGCATTTGATAATGCTTCAATATATTACTGGAATTTAATTTTCCGACCACTTGTTTTCTGATTTACTCAAAGGCTGACGGTACTGTGCGTCCTCCTATGTTCTCGTTTATTCCCACTTACATCTGCGCCCAAGCTACCTCGCTGGACCCTTTGTTTGATCTCCGATCAGAGACATCAGTAGAACACTGAAATGAAAAGACTTATACAATTTTTGATTGTCTAGCAAACCTCATATAAATGCCTCTTAGTCCAGAATTTTGAAGTGAGGAACTTTTTAACTAAAATGGGTTCATAATGCAATGGTGGATTTTTTTTCATAAATCATAGTCTGAATAATGTACAGAGCCCTAAAATAAATTTACACAAAACCTGTGTAAAAATATAATCTGCTTTCAACTACAGAAAACTCTTCTGGGAAGGTGCCCTATTATTTTTAAGCATATTTGTAATATAATTATATTTTGTATTAACAAGAATTTATACTGTTTGAAAGGAATTCTACAGGATCACACAGTCCTCCAGCTTTATTTTCCAGAGAAATAGTTTGACATAGGGACATTTCAGGCTTATCTAAACTCAGTGGTACTGTGCAGAACAGTGAGTGTCAAAGGACTTTCTTTTGTGGAATCTGACATAGTTAACTGTCTGTTTAGCTCATCTGTCCATACGAACGCTTCTTGCCTGAACATCTGAAAGAGACCAGCCTAAATAGAATATTAATTTTGCCAGATAAAGTCTGGGGCGATGATCTCAAAATCCATGCTCTAGTTTCTGGTCCACATTGAAAACTGTTGGGATTACATATAATTCCTTTCAGATCCATATCTGTGTGTATCCGTTTCTCAGAGCTCACTCAGGAGAATTTTGTCGATTTTAGGGTAACAACAAACTTAAGTAATCAACAAATAAAATGCAGCTATGATAGCATCCATGAAAAAGTTAATAAACAGAAAAGAAAACTTAGAGGTGAATATACTGTGAGAAGAAACTGGATCTTTGAATTGCATTTCTAAACTTAGTCCCTTTTTCCTTGAAATGTGTTCTGAAGAATAAATAATGTTTGTTAACATCGCAAATACACATTATTTAGTTGAAAGTTAATGTTTCAAATCCTTGACTGTCTCTCACTTAATAATACAACAGAAAAATTCTTGCTGAAATCCAAAATCAAATCAAAACATGTATCAGTTTATTTATACAAGAGCAAAAATGTTAGAAATTTGGCTACTTCTTCAGTAACTATAATCTTACTTGGAAAACTTCAGCAGGTATATGTCTTATTGCTATTGGCTGGAAATATGGCATCAAGTTTTTATCAAAAGCTTTTAATTCATCCTCATTCAATCCACCTAGAAAAAATACAACAGGAACAGATCTCAATATTATTTTATTAGGGGTATTTTTAGACTAATAAGATTTTTTAAGTATTTAAAGATAATAGTAATTGGTTTTCTCCAGTATATAAAAAAACCTTTTTCATTTATTTTGTTTTCTTTTATTATATCCAAACATTACAAACCACCTGAAGTTAACCATGGGTATGGAATGTCTTCCACCTAAGGGATCACTAGATAAACTACAACTCTTTGGCACAGCAAAGAGACAACTCAGGAGAGATATGATAAAATCTATAAAGTCATTCAGCAGCATTATTAGGGAATGCCTGTTCACCGTCTCTTCCAACAGAAGATTTAGGGAGTGTTTAGTGAAGTTATTGGAAGGCTTTCAAAACATATAGAGGGAGGTACTTCATCCATTACATATTTACAGGGGGGAATAGTTGCTCCAGGCACTGGGGATGCTAAAATTTATGTGGGTTAAATGTGCAATTAAACAATTATAGGAAAAAAAATCCATAAACAACAAATCCTGTGTGACCTCTGGCTCAGGAAGTGTCTGCGGTTGAGAGAACATTTTGGAGAAGCCACCCTGAAGAATCTTTCACTCCTTCCTAGACAGCTCATTTGCCACTGTTGAGGCAAGATACTCACCAGCTAGAGCATTGCTCTGACCTGACCTAGCCACCCTCGGGGCAACACTGTTCACAGGTTGAGCACAATGCACAGTTTAATTAATTATACTTCTATTTTATGAAAAAAAAAAACTATTTAATTCTGCAAATCTAATACACTGGAACTTTTCAGTACCATATTTTTCAAAATATAGCGGGTGTGGGTTGCCCCCCACAAAATCAGACCTAGCAGACTCAGAGGGCCACATGAAGGTAACCACAGCTTCCCCTGAGTGCTAACGAAATGTCTGCCTGTCCATCCCTGAAGGTGACTCCTCTGTGGAAGAGATGCATTTTGCCAGTCTAGAAGGCCACACTGCTCTGTGAACCCTGTCTCTTAATGCTTAGTAACACTTCAGACCTAGCACCAGCTGGAGCCAGAGTTTCACTACCTGCTATGGTACCAATCTCCTGTAGGACGGAGCTGTTCCAGCTGGCAGCAGTTCCAAACACCGATTCTGCCATCTTCTTAAACTGCTTTAGGAGAGGAGTGCTGCAGAACAGCAAGCCAATTCGTGCAACAGCAGCACTGCAAAAGGCAACAAGGTTATCACTACCTGCTGAATTGCACTCAGGGCTAAATATGCCTGGAATGTATGCAGACTGCTGTAACAAGTGTGTAAACCTATTTTCAAGTCAAAATATATGCACACAAATTGCATACAAATGTCAAATGCTTTAAGCAAAAGCCCAGGTTTCTCAGTACAATACTTGAGATATAAATAGATTCTGTTGCAGCTTTCCTCTGCTATTTCAAACAAGGACTATGCCTTCCATAACAGTTATTGTTAAAGCATCCAAAGTATTTTTCTAAAAGCATTTAAAGTATTAAAGGAGTCCTTTAGTTTCTGGAAATATTCAAGGAAAACAAATTGCACAATGAATTCCATCAGTAGAGATACTGATATATTTTGCATAAATTAACAAATGTGGTACCTGAATTCAGTACTCCTTATGGACATGATTTCTGTGGAATTCAGAGCACAGAGAATGGCTCCTAATCCAACTAAATCAAAGCTTTTGAGTGTACTGATCGTATGGCCAGAGTCTTCTAGAAAACCTTGTAATATAGATCTTGCCTGCAAAAGCAATAAGATATGATACAATAACAGAGTACATATAATTGAAGCTTTTATTACCAGATGCTCCAACGCTATCAGAAGCTATGGAGTGTTACAAGCAGACCATACATAATCCCAAGCCTTCCTTAGTGAAATTAGTTGGAGTTTTGCCATTGCCTCCAGCAGGAACACTGTCACCATCTCTGTGTGACACATAAATAGGACACGAATGCAGACACTTCCCAAGAATGACTGAGCTGCTGAATCCTGCACCTCTTAGGGGGCATCGCGAGCGAACGCCGCACCAGCAGATACAGGCACCATGGAGCCCAGCACAACTGCCCTATTCAGTTTAACAGGCACAAGCAAATGTAATTCCCCTTGGAGACCTTGGTGAAATATGAGATTTTTAGATTGGCTTGTCCTATTGAATTATCTTATATTGATGATGACCTGTGTTTAGGATTAAGATACAGATATGAATGGAATGTAGGTGCCAAAATACCTTTGCAAGACTAAGTCACTTAGGATGGTATTCATCCTAAATTATGGGTCTGGCTGTGGCCTATCACAAAGGCATCCTCTAAAGTCAGTGAAAGAAACAAGCGTCTTCCTCAAAATCCTGATTTATGGCAAGATTAGTGTCTATCTAGCATGCTGGGCCTCTCTTTCTATAAAGAGGGAGCCTCAATGACTTGCTTAAATTAGCTGCCTAACTGAGATGCCCAGAGGTAGGTCAGATGAATCCCATTTAAGCAACTATTCTTATTAACAGCAGGAAATTTCAAAAGGCAACCAGTGCTGTGTAAAATCTTCCCAAGTATTGCCCGTTTCCTTCTGATAGTGCTCATCAGGACCAGACGTGACATTCTGCCAGAGCTGGCTGGCACCATGCACAGACAGAGCCAGAAATGTGCTGCCAGTTGCATATATAAATAAAAGGTTTTAATCTTCTCTTCATTTAATACGACAGCCCCACTGACATAACTAGAAGTTATTCAAGCAAAGGGAGATGAGAGGAATGTAGTATCTGAATGGTATATTTTGCTAATAATTTAGGCTGCTAGGGCAATAGAGTCAGGGGTTAAGGTGTACACTGCTGAGTGACTGAATGGTTAATAGTTTCTAGCAGGAGTTTCTGTTTGGGGGCCACTCTATTTCTTAGCGGGCAAGTGCTCATGAGGATGTTCACCACCACCATAATTAATATTCATTGATGTCCTCTTGGCCAGGCAAGCAGACACCAGAGCTGACCTACCCACCCACTTTTCCTGGGATCACGTGTGAAGAAAACCAGTGGGGAATTGTGTGGATTCCACGATCTGTTGCAGTATGTGACTTCAGGCCCAAAGAGGCTTTCACCAGCAGTAAATTCAGTAAAATATTTACCTGGGTAAGAGTCCACTCGGTTTGTTGGCTAAGCACAGAAATGGTGTCAAGAGAATACAAATCCAGCTCTTCTATTTCATTTTCAGTGAGGGCCAGAGCAATGCGCCCCAGAGAAACAATATGATGACTCTTCCAGGCTGGCAGTGATCCCCAGGCCTTTAGAATAAATTCATTAATATACAGTGTCTGTTAGATCATTATGAATCTTTCTGCATATACGTCATTCTTGAAAGTTTTGGTTTTAGAAATCCCAATACTCAAGGATAAACCCCATCAGCCAAAGGATGTCTCTTTGCACACCCTAGGCAGGGCACAGGTATCGTGAAGCTATTTGAGGTTCTGCACTAGCAGTGATGAGTTCATCTGAAAACACTGCAATTTGTACAGCCTGAGCTTGTTCTCAGGTCAGCTCGGGTATTGCTGGAGTTGTTGCCGGAGAAGCAAATACCACTAAAAATAAAACAAAACAAAACACCTCCACACGAAAAAGCATGCCTGTGCTGAGATCCACAGTATTTCCGCTACAACAAAAGTGGCAAATGTACTATGCAAGCTTCTACACCAATCACACTCACTGCAGTGGAGGGACTTCAAATTGCCTTCGTGACTAGTCATAGCAACTCAGGCAGTGACAAGGAAAGGAGAAGTCCAAGTAGAGAATCAGAGAATCCAGGCAAATAGACCACTTCAAAAGTTATAACTTCAAGTTTGCGTACATGCAGTATTTTTTACAAAGACATTAATATGAAATTTAAAATACAGCTAATTCTGCAGAGCTCTGTAAAAATAAAGAAGCATAGGCTCTTTTTATTTTTTACACCAATACCAATTAGTATATTTCCCAAGAAAAGAGATGGTATAAAACATTACCCAATTTTAATGCTCTTAATTCTCCAGCTTAGGAGGTATATGAAACACATACATTTTAAAAAATCTGTATGTCTATTTCCTGATTTAGGTCATAAAATGAAGCATTTGAACCACTTCTTTAATTAGTATTATCTGACAATGGATATGAAATCTTAGATATAACAGTATAAATAACATAACACATGAAAATGAAAACACTCCATTGTCCTCATTCACCTAAGGAGTACAGATCTTCACATCTGTTACTATCACTGAGCTTGGAAACACTCCTCTGAAAACTTCTTACTTTCATTAAGACAATATCTGATAACTGGATTTTCTGAATTAGCTTGAAATCATGAGGAATATGCAGTATCAATCAGTTTAGGAGAAATAAAGCTGGCTTAACTAAATCTTTAATCAAAGATGCCCTTTAATTAATAACATAGAGCATCCTATGCACATAATTTCAAAGAACTGTAGTTGCTTTGCCTGTACTATCTGATTTCTCATGTTTCTCACGCCTCAGTGTTAACATCATGTTGTATTTTATAAATTACTACACAGGAAATCTGTCTGTCTAGCAGCAATCTTCTTATAAACATTCACACAGACAAAATATACTTGAATGAATGTAGTACATTTTTTCTGTGTATCTTTTAATTGAATATGGCTGGGATATGAGTACATGAACCTTGTTGGTAGTTTCCCTAGAACACATAGCACTCTGTAAGCATACCATTATTTTGCTCTGCTGTAAAATATTTTCATTTCTACTATCTCAGATGAGCGGTATTTTTATTTTCTTCTAGGGTTCTGTATTTTTTTTCCTTTTCCTAGCCACACGTCTCCATGTGGACAGAAGGAGGCTGTCTTTCAGAAGAAATCATCTGCTGCAGCAGACTGCTGTCCTACTGCAACAAGGCAGCAGAGACCAAAGGCCAGGGTCAGCATCTGCCTTTGGAAATCTGGTTAGTGTCACTTCTCCTCAACTCCATTTTAGTAGTTTTAAGAACAGAGCTCACTGCTCAGTGCTGCACTTCTGGCCTCACCTGCGCAAAGGCCATGGTGAGCAGCACTGCTCTGGCTACAGCTCCTGGTTTAAGGAGATGCTCCCCAGGGCCACCTCGTCCCGTGTCTGCTTCCCTCCAGAGAGCTCAGCCCCCAGGCTTGTTCTGCTTGCAACTAATTGTACTTGTAGATGCTCCTAACCTGGTTCTGTCACAGTGCTCTGAGGGAGTCTAAAAGGGATTTTTTTTTTCAAATGTTGGCTCATTTTGACAGAACAGGATTAGGGAGTAGCTAGCCAGGCAGAGAGGAAAGCAGATAAGAGACAAGTTCTAGCAGAGACTGGTGACAGGCAGCTGCACACAGGCTGGGGTCAGTCATCTCTTCCCCTCTGGCTCTCTGCAGCCAAAACTACTTGTAGGGTTGCACCCCACAACTTTCCCTTGCTATGACAGAAGGATGAAGAAGAAAAGTGAGGAACAAACACCTGAAAAAGGGTTGAAAAATCAAAGTGCTTAAGTTGTTCAGCTGCCAGTAAGTCAGAACTACTTGCCTGTTTACTCTAAAGCAAGTGCAATAATCTTATACCAACTCACATTATTTTTCCAATAAACAATAAATACACTTGCAAAAGTTGCTTTAAAATGGTAAAACTCAATAACAGCAAATCTAATTATGGATTTATTTTTCCTTTACAGACGAGATATTTACCTCCTTGGCTTTTTCCTTCAAGACAGTAAGCTGGGAGCTGTTAAAACCTGACACCGTCCCAAGAAGCTCCACTTCTTTGTCAAATGTTTCTGCATCCATGCATTTCAGTTCCTGAACTGACCAAAAGGCATTTGCTTCTGCTAGTTTAATAATTTCATCCAAAGAAGGGGATCTGATTCCTAGGCAATCTGGAAGAAAAAAGTCAAAGAGCAAGTTTTCTTCAAGGAGACTGAATAAAGAAATTGAAGCAATACAAAGATTTAAGAGGCTGACAGACTCTGGATTAGCTACAGCCAATATGATATTGATAAGTTAATCATCTTGCAATGAAATAATTCCTTTAAATATTCACACCATTAATGTCCTGGATATAAAAATAGGATTTGCCTAATTTGCAAGAAATTGGTTATATATTGTCCTCCAAATTCAGTTCCTGCTGTCCTCCAAATGCAGTTCCTGCTGGAAAAGAAAATGGGAATAGACATATTTTTGAAATATATGATGCTATAGCAACATTAAAATCTGGATCTATGTAATACTAAGAGTAACCAAGATCTTTCATTCGTCTAATTCTCTAGAAGAAACAAAATCCTGGGAAGTGCTGATCCTGAGGTAAAAACACTGTTTATCAGGAATCTTGTTTGAGTAAGAATGAAATGCAAATAGCTCTCAATACAGCTACATTGCTCCTCACAAGAAAAATGCTGCAGCTGAATAAGCTTCTCCATGTTCAAGCCTCACATACGTGAACCTAACTCAAGAGTTAAGTAACAGACAGGAGCAGTCCTTTTTCTCTGAAACACACTGACAGAGATGGATGTCTTGTAAGACTTGCCTGACATTTAAACAAGGTGAAGACAGAAACCGAATGTGTCAGAGAAGGGCAATACTTGTTCTTTATGTCAAGGATGTTGATAAAATGTCAGGAACGAGAAAGAGTTATTCACTTACAACAGAACTGTTAGGACAGACGAACCATATTTAAAAATCTGATTTATCAACAGATTTGACCCTGTGCACGCCTAAACGAGCCTGTTTCCCTTGTGTGTCTGTTAATGACACCTGGTCTTTGCCGGCATCAGCCACCTCTAGGATGGAATATGGAAAGCAGAAATCAGAATCTTGATGTGGTTGTGTACTACTCTCTCTCTTGTCACTAATTTTGGAAACCCGTATTACATAATTATCTAAACCAAATAATCTCTGCATCTTCAGATATGATCATTGCCATTAAAAGCAAGAATTTCACAGATGCTGAGTCTGAGCTAAGCTTTCCTAGCTAAGTAAATTAAAGTGAGGATGTACAAAGTAGATTTGCAGTTTGAAAGGAGGCAGAGGAGGGATTTGTTTGCGTCAAAGAAAGCTGCAGTAGTGGGTAGAACACTGAAAAGACTAAATCTGTTGAAAAAACGAAAATGTTGTTCAGCTTCTACTGTACCAGCTGACATTCTGCTCTGCCTTCAAACCGCTGTCTTGTGAAGCTGCTTTGTTTCACTTTTGACTGCAAAAGGTCAGTCTTTTTCATGTAAATACTACCTACCCATCCATGCACAATGCATTTCCCTTCCCCAAGTCGTAGAAACCTAATATTTTTTGTTCTTGGAAAAAACACTGATTTTATTATTTGCTACACTGCAGATATGTTAGCAAGACCCCTATCTTTGCTTTCTGTATCTGATGCTGCCTCATTCTTCCTTTTGCTATATAATCATACTTAGTTCAATGCAGAACATGCTACATTTATAATAAAACTTACTGGTGCTGTAATGCAAGCAACTCAAATTTTATTTCCAGCACTGCCACTGTTTTATTGTTGCATCTCGGATACACTGTTTCTAAGTTCTGTCTCAAATTTTCTGCAATTTTTGTTTTTCCTTTAATGTAGGTATAGATACTAAAACTCTGTCACTGGTAATTGTTCCTGTTATTATTGTTAGCTCAAACCTCTCAAAGGTGTTGGGTTCTAAATTCTCCTTAGCTCTTTCAAAAGCCCTTCCCACAGCACATCTGTTTTCCAGGCCACAAGATGGCACAGTTTAAAATTTATCCTTGGGTGAACTTCAAGTAACGGAAAGCATGTAGCTATTCCACTGACAGAATGCAGTCTAAGTATGTACCTTGCACAAGGAAAACAAGTGTCACGAGATTTGAATAGGCTGATGTTTGGTTGCTAACTAAAATACATTTACACTATAATAAACTTTGTCCATTTGAACAAAACACAGTGTCATCAATGTCAGATTGAAGAACAGCTGAGTCAACATAAACTCATGTCTGGCAAAGGATTAATTGTGTGTAATCTTTTGGCACAACAACTTGTTAATCTCATGGCTTTCTTATTCAAGGAATTTCACTTCAGCTTACAAAGAAAGCCCCAAATATAAAAATAACAATAAAAAAAATCCAAATCATTTATCTTTTCCCTTTGTGCACTTGCAAATGTTCCAGGAGGTGCTTAACCATGCAAACTTTTAATGGAATTAAATGCTTCATCAACTAGTAATCGCATCAGGCAACTACCGGCAATAGGGCAAGGACTCTCACTGTTTTATTAAAAGACTGAACCTTGGTAAGTTACTTGAGGCATTACTTTTTATTGTCCTGCTTCTCAAAATGCATTTGATAACAAAGCAAAACCAAAAGTCTGGTCAAACTGCACCAGGACACCAAATGGCACCACTGTAAATCTGGCATTTTGATACTGTGCAGGTACCAAGTGAAATACTCACCAGGTCTAGTCAGAGATGATCTGTTGGTGGTGGTGTTGGAGACAAATTCAAACACAGTTGA